GTATAAAGGGATAGGACATAGATTACCTGGATAAACCTGCAAAGTCTGGATTACCAGTCAGGAGAATATGGGTAGCTGTTGCGACATCTACTTCTGGTTTTAGTGGCTTCAATAAATTAAGATATTCGCAGATAAACCTTCTCTCAGCTTCGTGTTCCAGATCCATCTCCGGATCCTGCAGATGCTGTATTTCTATTTTGTCCTCCAGCACTAGACTTTTGCATGGCATATTTTGAGCCGCCGACTTCTCAGCCTTTAAGGTGCGCAGAATCTGCTGAAATGCTGAATGGATTGCTCCATCACTCATAAAATCCATTCCGCCGTGTTTTATTTGTCTTCCTTTCACCGCCTCTTCTGCGCTCGCAGCCGACCCACCTGCTCTGGGCAGAGTGAAGAGTAAACTAGCGAAGTCTCCCTCACCACTAACAAAGATGCGCTGTGGTGAAAAGTGGCCCACTTCTAGTCTTAAGTTTACGATAAACTTTTTCGGTAGGTAAGCCACCACCTTTAAGCATAACTCCACGTCTGTCTGCCCTTCGAGTTGGCCATTATCTGGCTCCACGACTACGTGTGCATCGGCCAAAGATGCCGCCTCAACGAATACGCGGAATGTAAAGGCCACCTGGCCAGTATTATACAGCCGGAGGTGTCCGGAAGCCGTTTCGTGACAGACAATGCGGCCAAACTCGATCTGCTCTGAACTCGGCTCCAGGACGTAGTTGGAACTCGAGGCCTGGCCAGACATGACTACGCGATATACAGGACCATCATCCACCTGACAGGCTGCGGTAACGCATGCCTCTATGTCGGCATGCCCAAAGAAGGTGAAAAGCACCGGCTGACTCTCGCCTGGAGCCAGCTGGCCGTAGAGCGGAGTTATATCAAAAACTTCCTCGATGCTAAGTGGCACAATCTGACGGTCCTGATCAAGCAGGCGTCGGAGGACCGGATTCATGACTGCACATGCTGGACCTCATAAAAGAGTAGAGGAAAAGCAAATTAGCAATTCTTAGGAGCATTATTATATGCATGCCTGAGTTTACAGCATGACCAAACGGTAGCAAAAACTGAGGTAACTTTAAGATAGTATTAAGCATATAGTTCGAAATAGTGAAAATTAACTTGCTACACAATTCCATAGCATAACCACAGCCTATGAGCAGGCAACACTACATTTTTGTGGTAGTTATTTTTCTAATCATGAAATTTTTTCCCTTAGTCAACAAGCCTAAATAAATCGAACCAATGATTTTGGAGGCATCTAATTCGTAGAGCTATTATTTGATTTGCCCATATTTTTATTAATCTATAAAATAGCTACAATAAATTCATCGACAAAGTTTCTTAAGATAGCAAAAGTAATGAATGTTTCCGCTGTATTTTGTTCCTGAATATTTTCAGTTCCAGGTAAGCAAACCTGTTCAGAAATTTATAGCAGGACTTTTTTCTGAAGTTTTGCAGGCCTCAAGGATTTAATCATCGTCTTTAGGGCATTAACTAAGCAAGATCAAAGAATGGTGAATAGTCGACTTTCTGGGTTTAATTAACAATGGTGTGAAAATGTCAGATCTGTTGAAGATATGAAGACCCAGATGGTGTGACCTTTTGTATAGTCGCGGTCTTCATATCTTCGAATAAACTATGGAAGTAAGATTGCCAAACAAAGCACCAATTGCAGCCTGACAAAGAAGACAAATGTAAGTCAATCTGGCCATTTGACCTTCATGAATTGTTGTAAGCATTATGATATCGCTCCCGGACTTTGCAAACCAATGAGGAAGTGTCATTCGGACACAGTTAATAAAATAATTTATCATGCCACCATCCAGAAATTAAAGGAAAGTTACGGGACTGAGAGGCATAAGCTATTTAAGCTCATAGATATTAAGTCTGGATTACGGAAGGATCTATGCAAGATTCTCACTCAGGATGATTTTCAAAAGCTCCAGAGTATGACTCACCAGAACTCACAGCTATCCTGGAATTGAGAAATAAGTGGCATGACAATAAGTTGCTTAGATATGGTATAATAAGACAGCGCAGGATCAAACCAACCCGGGCCAATTTTGATGGTTAGGTGGTGGAGGCCTCAACTGCTACAACCGACGATAGGTATAAGGTAGTAAACCTGTCCTCAATGCTTATTGATTCTGAAACGGGTTAAATATTTTAATCGGTAAGGAAGGAAACATTTAGGAAGATATCCTTGTAGAAAATATCAACATCTCGGAGAAATTTCCAGAAGAGACCAAACGGGAGATGGAATGGAATTAATCACGATAATTCCTTCCCATCGAGAGCCAATGAAAAGGAGTGGATGGATGAAGATACGTATAAAATTACAAATGAATGACAAATAGTTCTTCAGGCGGATAAGGGCAGGGCTACGGTTGTAATGGACAGAAAACATTACACGGAGAAAATGGAAAGTATCCTTGGCGACAGGAAAACTTATCAAATACTAAGGAAGGATCCAACAGTGAAGATCAACGTGACACTGAAGAATATGCTAAAGGAAATGCATAACAATGAGGAAATTGACAGGTGAATGAACTTTTTAATAAAAAATGACGCAAGACCTTCGACAGCCTACGGACTACCGAAAATTCACATGGTAGGAAATCCGCTAAGATTAAGAGTCAACAACAAGCATGGAGCAACATGCAACATAGCGAAATTAGTTTGTTAGAAGGTAAATAAAGTAAATGACAGACTCTCGAATTCCGTTAAGAATTCATATGAATTTTCTCAAAGGATCCAAAATATTGGAGTGGCAAAGACGGAAATGTTGGTAAGTTTTGACATACAATACATGTGCACGAACATCTCAGGCGAGAAGGCAGTCACCGCCCTGCTGAAGGTCTTGGAACTAGAGAAGGATATTCTGGAAGCAGAGCGGAAACGGAAAGAGTCATGAACACGACTAATCAATTTGACAGTAAGTACCACATATTTTACATTCAAGGGCAATATCTGAGCAAATATTTGGACTACCGATGGGATTACCCCTCTTACCTCTTTTGGCAAATGTATACATGGACAGATTGGAGAAGGAATGTGAGAAGTCACCGCTGCAACCAAGAGTGCTTATGAGATACCTGGAAGACCACTTTGCCTTTTGGTCGCATGATAAGGAAAATTTTGATGAATTGCTCAATTTTATAAACCAATATGATGGAAGAATTAATCCACGTTGGAGGTGGAGGAGAATAGACGACTACCCTTCCTGGAGATTGAGGTAATTCGCTACAACGGAATACTCAAGAGGAGACTATTCAGAATGAAATCAAATCGGAAATAATCCCCAATTTTGAGTCTCACCTCAACTACAGACTAATGATCGGAATAATGAGGAGTATGATTATCAGAAGCTTAGGACGAATGGACACTGAGTTCTGGAACGAGGAGTTGGAGAAACTGACTCGGATTTGCCTTAAGTAACGGGTACCCCAGATAATTTATAAAAAGGAATATAGGGGTCATAAAAAGCGGATTTCAACTAGGACTTTATGAAAATAAGATCAGAAATCGGGAGGACGACAAAAAGTGTATATGCCTGCCTTCCTGTGAACTGAGCCAGAAACTTTGACCATTGCTAAGACGATGGAACATCAAGGTGATAACAAAGGAAAAGACAATACTCTTTACAAGCCTGATGACGCAACACGATAATGTTGACAAACTGGATTGCTCGGGAGTCTATAGCATAAAATGCGGCAACTTAGAGCAGAAGTATATTGGGGAAACAGGAAGGAAAATCTGCTTACGAATCAAGGAGTGCCATAGAATCTGCAGAAACATGGACACTTTAAGATCCTAAATAGGGGAACACATCGCACGAACGGGACACAAAATTAAGTGGAAATTGGCAGAAAGGCTGGCTGCATGCGGTGGAAATATAAGAAAACGTAAGATACGAGAAGCCATTGATATCCTGACCGAAAGAAACCTAATAAACATGACACTTAAGAAGGCGGGATTAGCGAAAACGTTGCATACTGCCTAAACATACTCAGAGAAGATCAGAGAACATAAATATCGGCAAAAAGAAGACGACTGGACAATGGTGATATTTTTAATTTTAGGAAAAGCAATTACAAGGATACCAGAGAGGAACAATCGGAATCCAAGAGAAGACTTCTACAGTGAGCCTATTTAAATCAAGTAGAACCCTCATAATTGGGGGTCGGCACGCAATATAATGCCACAGAAGAGCGAGAGAAATGGTAGTGGCCATTTCTAGTTGGCTATTAGTAGATAAGTTTTCTCATAGACGTGGGCTATGAAGTAGAGGCTTGACCACGAGATTTACTAAATGTACATGCCGCACAGCGATAATGGAATCTGCAGCGTCACGTAAGGTTGCCATGCCAAATGAGAATCCAGACTTTAGGGGCTTGCTCAGTAAGGCTGGCGTATACGTGCTATCAAAGGCTTGTGGCAGAGTTTAGTACAACGCCTTGAGTAGGACGGATACGGTGGCAGCGATGGGAGGATAATACGGGGCAATAGACGACTCTGATAGGAACCGAAGAGAAAAAATTGTGGATTGAACCGCAGCCTTGGATCAACACTTCCAGCACCATGTGAGAGCTTATGAAACCAGTGAAGCGTGTGAATATATTTCAAATAGGTCTAGATAAACAAGTAAGAAATTGTGATATTGAAGGGGTGATACGAGAATATAAGATATGTGAATAGCCCAGAATGAGATATACCACAACTATTTAGCAGAAAATTTCTCAGGAGATCGCCTTCACTAATCTTTGACGAGTTGTAGTGTGGTGCTAAGGGTGGCAAGACTCACTGACAATGCCGACTACGATGCCGGCTAAACGTTTGCGAATGTACCAAGTCCACGGACCGACTCTGGAACTTATCCTGCAAACTATGGACTCCGAACAAGCTGCGTTCCTCTAGGTCTTCCTGTCAATATGACCAAGTTGCGTAAACAAATTCAAATAACTTTCAGATCTGTTGAGTTGGCGAGCGAATATAGTATTTTAAGTGAGAAAATCAGAACCTAACGGAGAAAACACGTTTTCACACATTTCGTAAGCGAAGGCATGAAAAATATACATTCGTTTATGATAGCATATATAGACTATATAGTAAGCATTCATTTTGTTTCAGAAGATGTTTGGTAGTACGAATAGGGAAAGGAGCCGGCTATGATATATACAAGAAGCATTGCTCTCATCCACGATGTGGGAAATCATTCTAAATTAGAAGCGTTTTCAGAACATATGAATTACATTACATTCAGAAGGAGTGCAGTCTCTTCAACTTACTCATCTAAAACTAATGCCTGAATGTTACTGCCATCAAAACTGTTTCAGATAGGAGGAAAAAATATATACGTAATATTGAGAACACAGACACCATATTCAAGATCTATTGATAGTCTCAATACCCACTAACTATGATCATAAAGCCCCAATTAAGATGATCATTGTGAGCTTATTATCTGTCACTGCTCGATTAAATTGTTATCATTCAGCTTAGACAATATAAATATAAATGCTGGAATATTCGATGGAGTGAACAGTTTAAATTCTGCCTAGACCTTTATCAAAACTTCAGATCCTTTTGCTTATTCATTCATTCAATGAGTTGAGAAATCCTATCTTAATCATTCTTATTCCAAATATGCACCCTTCCCAAATAAATAGACATTATCTGCACGTAAATATAGCTGTGATTTTCCCTTCCAATTCTACCGAAAAGGTAATAGTAAGATTCAAGTAAACATAGAAGAACACTGGACAGATTGATAAGCTAGTTATCAAACAAATTTTCTTCTGAGTAGCTAAAATACATAGATAAGCACTAATTCCGGATATGAGCATATTTTCTTTTACATGCTTAAGCTCTACAGTGGCCACTTTAGTTATTGGTAAGATTTATTATTGAAAGATTACCTCCTTTTTCTTCTGTCACATCCTTATAAGTATCCAATTCCCCTGCATCAGGCTGTTCGATGCATCGAGAAGTTGGTTCAGCCTCTGTCGGATCTTCATCGAGTATAGAGGCAGGTGTTTCTATCCTCTGAACAGTTTCTAATAAACCCGGAAGCTCAGCCTCTCGGCGAAAAAAGATGTTGGCTCCTTCACCGACAAGTAGACTCCAGCGATAACGGACAGGAAGGGGAGAGCAATTTGTAATAAGTGTTTGCCGAGTGATTTCGGTGTGGTTGAGAATATGGCCGAATGCGATGTTGGTTGTGTCAAACTCTAGGTTGGGGTAATGAACCTCACCGACTAATCGAAGTTTATCCTATTGTAAGGAGAATATAGGGTTAGGTTCATTGGATTAGTCCAATATAGAGAAAATCTAATCTATATTAATTAGGGTATTACTTTTAAAACAATTTTGCAAATGTAATACTCCTTTTGTTATAAACCTGAATGAAATGATTTTCATGCACAGCTAATTCACAGTGAGGGCAGTTCTGTTGATTCAATTATATGTCAAAATTTATACCGGATGGACTTGACTAAACTAATTTTGTATTATAATTGAATAATTATTTAGCAGAATAAAAAAATTGTAGGATCCTTTAAGTTGTGCATCAAGTTCCTTCTCTCCCTTTCGTCTGTATCATTTAAACGCAAAGATTTTAGATAGGATGCAGTATATATGTTCATGGACTATGCCTTATCTTTAGCAAAACCGAAAGCCTAGGCTACAAAGCATATAAAAGACGAAATAGGTTAGCCTAAATAACATAGTATATTTGGTCTATTTTTAAATGAAAAAGTGAAAAATGTCTGACAGATTATGGCGCAAATTGTCAGTTGTAGATATATAGATGTGGAACGCTTTTTTGACGACATAAGAATACACTCATTTCGATATTCTACAAAGTAATTAAAGCTAATGCAAATTTAAGTTTCATGATGCTGATAAAATTTTACCTAAAATTTGCTTTTTTTTCTATTCCTGAAGATTATTAACTTTGAACATTTCAAGTGAGAAAAAAATGCTTCGATGAATCTGATTTTTCAGAAGTTATCTTGATTCGGGATTGATTCGGGTTTTCTCTCAGTTAAATAAAAAAGATTTTTCAAAGAAAATGTAAATCCCCCTCCTTCTATGCAAGAAATCTAACTTTTTATATTTGTTTATGGTCTGTCAAACTTTTAAGAAAACTGGTTTGCTCATCCTC